GAGCTGACACCCCTCTATGCCATGACAACAAAAGGTATCAGCTCATTAGCTGAACACCCCTCAATCCATGACCACAATATGTATCAGTTCTTAAGCTGACACCCCTCTATGCCAATACCATAAAAATTATCAGTTTATAAGCTGACACCCCTCTATGCCACGAAAACTTAAGGTATCAGTTCATGAGCTGACACCCCTCTATGCCATGACAACAATAGGTATCAGTTCATAAGCTGACACCCCTCTATGCCAAGACTACAAAAAATAACAGTTCATGAGCTGACACCCCTCTATGCCATGATAACAACATGTATCAGTTCATGAGCTGACACTCCTCTATGCCATGACCATAACATGTATCAGTTCATGAGCTGACACCCCTCTATGCCATGACAACAACAGGTATCAGTTCATGAGCTGACACCCCTCTATGCCATGACAACAAACATGTATCAGTTCATGAGCTGACACCCCTCTATGCCATGACCACAACATGTATCAGTTCATGAGCTGACACCCCTCTATTCCAAGACTACAAAACATAACAGTTCATGAGCTGACACCCCTCTATGCCATGACCACAACATGTATCAGTTCATGAGCTGACACCCCTCTATGCCATGACAACAACATGTATCAGTTCATGAGCTGACACCCCTCTATGCCATGACAAACAACATGTATCAGTTCATGAGCTGACACCCCTCTATGCCATGACAACACAACATGTATCAGTTCATGAGCTGACACCCCTCTATGCCATGACCACAACATGTATTAGTACATGTGCTGACACCCCTCTTTGCAATGACCGCAACATGTATCAGTTCATGAGCTGAACACTCCTCTTTGCCATGACCACAACATGTATCAGTTCATGAGCTGACACCCCTCTATGCCATGACTACAACATGTATCAGTTCATGAGCTGACACCCCTCTATGCCATGACCACAACATGAATCAGTTCATGAGCTGACACCCCTCTATGCCATGACAACAAAAAGCATTATCTCATGAGCTGACACCCCTCTATGCCATGACAACAAAAAGTATCAGTTCATAAGCTGACACCCCTCTATGCCATGACAACAAAAGGTATCAGTTCATGAGCTGACACCCCTCTATGCCATGACCACAACATGTATCAGTTCATGAGCTGACACCCCTCTATGCCATGACAACAAAAGGTATCAGTTCATGAGCTGACACCCCTCTATGCCATGACAACAACATGTATCAGTTCATAAGCTGACACCCCTCTATGCCATGACAACAACATGTATCAGTTCATGAGCTGACACCCCTCTATGCCATGACAACAAAAGGTATCAGTTCATGAGCTGACACCCCTCTATGCCATGACAACAAAAGGTATCAGTTCATAAGCTGACACCCCCTCTATGAACTGATCAGATGGTAACACCGCACACCCAAGCGTCAGAGAGGTAGTGTAAGTATGATGAGTACATAGATGTGAACTTGGATACATACACAAGGATGAGTGAGTGTAGTATGAGTGCATTTATGGATACAGAAGACACAGTGTATGTAGATGGATGGTAGGGGATCACGTATGGATAGGACAGTGGGAATATAGCTGGGCGAAAGGTACAGATGACTGAGTACATGGATATAAAAATGTAATTACTGTATGCATGTATATGTGGGTATGAGTGTGCATGTGTGTATATATATGGGAGCGTGATATTTGTGTGTATGAATGACAGTGCACTCAAAGAACCGACAAATTGTGTTGCTGCATGTCTGTTAATTAATGAGAACATGGAATGAGGTGTGTACGCAGCAAGAAGGTCATCAACACACACCATCCATCAAAACATGGTAAGACAGTACCGGGCAGGTCACATACAAGTAACGGGACATAACTTAAAAGTGACACGACCAGACGATACTACAGACATAGCGACACAAAACACACAAGACATGGAAGAGTGAATGTCACTACGTGTGGATGTGCTCGCATATAAAAGAGTTTGCGTGTGTACGTAATGTCAATTAGGTATGCATACATGGATAACTATAAAAGGACGTGCAAATATGTAGTGTTGTCAACGTGTATGAGTACTCGAGTGCATGTACGCATACACCTAGTTGGGTGCGTCCATGTACTCCGGGTATTCATACACAAAACCATACCATTCAACAGCATGCATACAACATGCACATGACCGACATGACTCACAACAAGATACGACTGACAGCAAATAGGGAAAACAAGTGACTCAATAATGACAGGACTAGAACACATAACCATCAATACCACCCCATCACTGTGATGATAGCAAAGGTTGGTAACGTGATACACATAGTCCTGGCAAAAGGCCACGCTAGAATCCAGCAAGACGGCAACGACGAGAAATGACTGAATGGCCTCCCGCCCCCTTTCCCCTTACCCTTCCCTAACTTTCGGATGCACTATGAGTTTAACCCCCCAACCCATTCCCACAGAGAGCACTTGAGTTCGTTGTCCAACATGCCACAGCAATTCTCATCGCCGAACATTTGGATCTCAAAGCGTGAGCTGGATGCTCCGGTTATATGGTATTTACGTACACCTGAGTTTAGCTGTCAACACAACCCGACTACATAATAACAGATGACGACTGGACCCGCTTAAGTCACCACATAAACTCTCACATACATATCCATTACATGACTAACCCGTTCATATTACAGGAAGACAACTATAAGACCACTATGGTCACAGGCGGAACATTTTTACATTTCGGAACTATTCAAATTCAAAAACTGTTTTCAGTACTTTTTGGCATAATTTAAATACTCAAAATTTTAAAACAATAAATGGTGGTCCAAAGGACGTTGCGTAGGGAAGCTCGCTCTCCTTCGAGATACGCCTAGCCATATCAAAGGGAGACAGAACAAACAGGAAACACCAAGAAAGAAGAGGGAGGACATGCACCAGTGACAACAGGACGAGCGGTTTGATTCGGATGGAAGCATCAAGCCCAGAAATGGCACAAACACTAAAATTCAGTCACGAAAGTGACGCAAATAACCCAGACCACAAATATAGGCGGAGACTGCTAGTAGCCTAGGCTTGCTAGCAGCAGTCTGAACGTGGTCGAGCTTTTCTTTTTTTTTTTTTTTTTTCTCAAAAGGACTTGGACTTGGAAAACCGCTCCCCTCTCACCCGATCCAGGCCGTCCCAAGGCTATGGTCCACCCTTTTTAGGGCAGACCGAGATCCCCTCCCTCACTCTGACAACAGCAGCAAACCTCAGGCGTAATATGATCGCCTCACAGAAACGTCAATAACTGGAGAACGAATTCCAGACAATAAAACACCGACCTCGATACAACCACTGCTCAATCTAGGAGCCGGTTTAAAGAGGCACGAAGTTTTTAGTTTTTTTTTTCGAACATCAAGATCAAGATCACTGTAAAACAGCTCAGTCATACCTAGGACACCACCTGTCAGCCACAGAAAATGTGGAGCATGCCAGGGAACAAGACGCAACAGGAGATGCCGGCGTAGTACTTATCAGGATTAAGCCCTTATTAGGGTAGCGCCAAAGGAAACAGCAGACACGCACCACCATGCAGGAGACGAAACAGAAGCAGGCACCAAAGAGCTTAGCCCGATATTGATAACGAATTTGGAGAAAGAAAAAACACAAGTTGGAATACGAGCCAAACTAATCGCAACCTTCAAGCAGCCTCACTAAGAAGAAATTCAATCAAAAACCCTAATTATAACCTTCACGCACAAGTTGAACTTGGGGGTGGGGGGAATACAACCGGAAAAGGGGGGGGGGGGGCTTAAAAATAATCAAGAAAACAATATTGATGGACTTTGCGGCACTGGATGTTCAAAAACCTCAAAATCTACAATTTCTTGTTCAGTCCTTCTCAGTTTTTATTTCGATATGCACAATCTTTTGTCTCCTGATAATGTAAATGTATATTTTTAAAACAGATAATTTTTGTTACTGGAATCTGTAAACATAATCGCAAACGAGCAATTTTAGCTGATTTTCATTCTTATTCTCGTCATCATCTTGCTGTACCATTATATTATCACTTCACATAGGGCTCGACGTCTATGTCTCCAGTCTTATTCTTTTTTTTTTTTTTGGGGGGGGGGGGGGGGGCATTATAACAGTTTTAATAATGCTTCATTCCAGCCACCAGCAAATTTCATGTGAATTATCTAAAAGTCAGTAGGAATCATACAGAAGTTCTCAAGGCAGTTAAAATATGAGATCACATTATCTCTTTCAGCACCAGATGGTTTAGCATTAGAGACAGATGTAAAATTGACACATCTTGAGTTCTTGGCTTCTATGTAGGCACCTATTAACGTAAGATGCATTCGTTAGGACTGAAGGAGTTAAAACGGGTGAAATAATTCAGTGTTAGTTAAGAAAGTAAAGGACCCTTTACATGCTAGTAATGCAGTAGTTCTCAACCTGTGGGTCGCGATCCCTTTGGGGGTTGAAAGACCCTTTCACAGGGGTCTCCTAAGACCATCAGAAAAACACATATTCACTGAATTTATGAAGTAACAAAAAACAAATAGTCAGGTGGGGGTCACCACAACATGAGGAACTGTACTAAAGGGTCACGGCATTAGGAAGGTTAAGAATCACTGCAGCAGTGCATCAGCTGTTTGATGCTAGACTGATATATGTCTCCAGTCTTCTTCGACACTTTGCAAAAAACTCTACATCCCTGAATGGGAACTCAGTCCCGCACCATTGGCCTGTCTCAGGAACGTCTGCTGCCAGTTAGCGAATTTTAGCCATTTTAAATAGCAACTTTAGCCACAAACGACAAAACTGTCAACAAAGGAACAGACAACTCTGTCAGACACTGTGAACCTTGAACTTTGGGACTTGATTCTTTGGATTGTGGACTTTTAGACAAGGAAGCAACCATCTGTTTTCTGTCAGTAAACAACTTGACTTATACCGGCAGCAGTCTGCAGTGAAGAACCAGCCATCCCTCAGACGCCACAATGGCATTGGCCAAAGGTAACCGTAATTATCAGATAATGATAGCAATGCCACATTTAACTTAAACCAGGTTCAGTTCTCTAGACTCTATAGTCTGTAATATATATATAGTTAGTAACTTAAACTATGAGTACGTTTCCTCTTTAATGGATGCCAGGTTAGGTAATTACCTGGGAAGGAAAGGCAGCTGCCGTGATTTTGACCTCATTATGTCACGACTCAGACGGATCGCTACTGCTGTAAAAGGGCACATATTAACGTACATGTAGTAAAATATTTTCTTTAGTTTTAGTTAAAACAAAGAAGATTATTGAAGAAGATTATTGACATCTTGTCAAATTGGGTGGTTATGAATTCCTCTTCTTATTATATTCCCTTGAAATCTATTATCTAAATCTGCTGTGTTGTCTCTATTATGAACTTCAGATAAAGGTCATAAATAAGGATATGCAGAGTTTATGTCAAGCAAGAGGCAGAACATTGCCACCCAAAGCAGTTAAAGAGAAAGTGAAGAAGAAGAAGAGTTTCTGTCTGTTCTGACACTTGATATTTATGTTTGTTGTCTTTAGTTACTGTTTAGCATTTTTTATAAACATTTTCTGAAGCATTTTTATATAATGCTTAAATTTATTCTTGAAAATAATGGTAGGTTGTGATGATTTCTAAGACCGTCTCAGATCCTGTCTCTCAGACTGTCCAACTCTTGCTTGGGGGTTATCCTCCTATATGTATGGTTATTTATCTATTGCTTGTTTACCATAAATTTTTCCCCATATAGTTTTTGTGAGAGTGTTGTGTCTTTTAATGTGGTCAGAATATTTCACTTTTCTCTCTTTTTTTTCAAACTGTTTTTGCATTTTTTTTCTCTGCAAAATGTGATGTTTAATAGTTTTGCTTCCATAAAATAATGATCTTTCATTTCAATTGTTTTAAATTATAATCCACTCTTAACTCACTCCAGGAAAAAAATGGGTACCAGGTAGTGTCCTGGGAAGTAGAGGCAGCTGTTATGATATTGATCACATCTTCTCTTGATTGCTGATTGGTCTATAAAATACAAGTCTATGAGTAGAATGCCTGAGTGAGGCAGTTACACACAAAAATATATATATTGAATCGTAGATGTACTAGGTCCACAGAGGTTAAATTGCAAGCTTATGTGTTAAGAGCTGTTTCATTTCAGTTGTTTTGAATTGTGAAAACACTATAGTTACTTGGAGCGATTTGGGGGGGGGGGGGGACAGGTAATGTTCTGGGAAGTAAAGGCAGTTGGTATGATCTTGATCGCATCACTGAGTGCTGATTGTTCTATTAAATACAAGTCTAGCATCATATGCCTGGTATGCCACTGGCTTGAAATGACAGAGTTTTTTTTTTACTATTAAATGTTTTGTTTCATTTTCTGTACAGCTGTAACTGGAGTTTACATTGTTGCTGCAAAGCGCACTGCATTTGGAACATTTGGTGGGAAACTGAAGGACATTACAGCCACTGATCTGGCTGTGTATGCATCTCAGGCGGCTCTCAAGGCTGGAAATGTGAATCCCCAGGATGTTGGCTCAGTTGTGTTTGGCAATGTTATTGCTGTGAGTTGAGTTTCGCTCAGTTGTGTTTGGAAATGTTATTGTTGTAAGTTGAGTTTGGATATGTTGTGTTTGGGAACTGTTAATACTGAGTTTGTGTTTGGGAATGTTATTGCTATTAATATTCAGTTTCGCTCAGTTGTTATGGGGAATGCTTTTGCTGTGCCTGAGGTTCAGTTGTGTTTGAAAATGTTTTTGCTGTGTGTTTAGTTTGGCTCAGCTGTGTCTTGGAATGTTATTGCTGTGAGTGGAGTTTGGTTCAGTTGTGTTTGCGAATGCTATTGTTGTGAGTTGAGTTTGGCTTAGTGGTGTGTGGAAATGTTGTTGGGATTGAAGTTTGGCTCACTTGTATTTGGGAATGTTATTGCTGTGTGTTGAGTTGGTTTCACAGTGAAGCTTTCTTTTCATTCTTTTTTTTTAAAGAAAATTGAAGTTTCTTTACAGGACATCACAAACCGACCCAAGCATTTTTTGGCTGCTTGTAGTTTTACTAGGCAATTTTTGTGTTCATTAGTTTACCACAAACTGTCCTAACTTTTTCCATCCCAAAAAGTTTTGGCTACTACCTGAAAACGGCAGTTAGAAAAAAAATAATGAAATAAAATTATAAGTAATCTTCATGCACAGGGGCTAAATACACAACACATTGTAGAAGATAAATTGTTGTCAGAGAGCTTCACTACATCCAGACTAAATGTAAGTTATACAGGCACATATAACATGTTTGCTGATGCACATGGATAAATTCTGGTCAGCCATGGTGCATTGTTTGATACTGAAAGAGTTAATGGTCCATGCTGGTACCATTGTTAAAAGCAACACAAAGTTGCATGCAACAGAATCTGCTCACATGCAATGATGCATTTCTTACCAAAGCTGAATGTTGAATTAAGAATCGACATCACAGCTCTCGGGACAGTCCCATACACTGTCCATCCCCATCTTCAGCAGCAAGCTAAGAGTTCTAGTTCTGATGTACCAGTAATTGTCTGATTGTATATCTGTTTCACACTTCCCTTGAGTGTTGAGCATCGGCCAAATCCCCTGGTAACTCTTCGCAGCACCATTCTCCACAGGCTATAATGATCTGTTCATGCCTTCACACTGTTCCCTCGCTCCCAAAGGCCCTCACAACATCTAGCTTTTCATACATCAGTTCACTACCAAGTGTTGCAGAACCGGCCAGTCTATCTGCCTGCTTATTTCCCAAAAGACCAGCCTGACCTTGTAAAAATATCCAAAGGACGCTATTTACCAGGGACCTCTGAAGTAATTCTTGCCACTCTGCATGGAGCATGCTAATCTCCACTTTTCTCAACATACTCTGTGAGTCAGTTACAATCACGGCCCGTGTGTACAGCTGATGCTCAAGCCAGCGGAAGGCAGCAGTGACTTCCTCTACCTCCATTCTCAAACTAGATATTGTGATATCATATGCCAGACTTTGTTGCACTAAGCAACATTCAATTGCCTTTACTATGAACCCCCATGCACTTTGTCAACCCCTAAACACAGAGCCATCTGTATAGACAATCACATCAGTTGGGCGGGAATTGTCATAAATCATTTGTGGAACCTCTGATTCTACAGCACCTACTGGCCAGTCCCTGCACTCGCGACCTAAAGTGATAAGAATCCTTCACAAGTTTGAAACTCTGAAACTTTGACTCACTCCTCTCTATTCACCAGAGTCAGATCTCATTCTTTATGTGCTCTGTAACATGATAAATATCATAACATTTTTTTTTTTGATGATTTGTTCTGCAGTCAGCAGCAGATGGAATATATTTGTCCCGGCATGTTGGTCTTAAGAGTGGAATTCCAGAAGCTACACCCGCCCTGACTGTAAATCGACTTTGTGGATCAGGCTTTCAGGCCATTGTTAATGGGGTTCAGGTAAACACACTTCCCATTATAGGTAATGAGTACTTATATATATAATACACACACATGCACGCTCATGCGAGCACACATACACTCGCATACATGCAGCACGCACTGAGAGAGAGACAGAGTTGGGGTAAGATTTTGGACACACTGCGCAGGTGCAGGACCATTACCTGGAAATAGAGTGGACCCATGGTCAGTATGTAGGGGTGCGGCTGGATTTTAGGCCCATCACTTACAGACATGAAAAAAGGTTTGGTCAGATCTGGTTTAAAAGGCAGTGAAGATACGATGTCAAGATCTGAATGCATCAGGGTAAGGTGATACAAGACTGAGGAAAATTATGTTCAGATATTCTGCAGAGAGGCAATAATTAGTAGGTTATGTCAGTTATCTACAATGCCGGAATCAGCTAAGTGCTAAATAAATCCTTATTTCATGAAAATCGTGTTTAATCATTGGAGTCTCAGAAAATCACATTTAGCGTTTCATAAGTTCAAATTGTGATGATCTTCTTCTTCTTCTTCTCTTCCACCTTGTACCTCATCAAAGTGTCGGGGGGAGATGTAATGTTCGTTGATGAGCTCTGTCAAGAGCACTATTAAGACTGATTTTTATTTCTGTAAGGCTGTTCTTAATGCCATCACTCCATCTTTTCTGAGGTCTTCCACTCGCTCTATACCCGTTGTAACATTTTAGTGTGGCTCGCTGTGGCGGATAGTACCAGGGCATTCTTGTTAGGTGTCCAAACCACTTCATTTGTTGTTCTTTGATGACCTGTAAGACTGGCTTTATTCCTAGCATTCGTCTGATTTCATGATTTCGTATTCTGTCTTTCCTTGAAACTCCTGCAGCTCTTCTAAGGCATTTCATCTCTGTTGTCACAATTTTACGTTCATTGGAGGATGTAAGTGTCCACATTTGGCATTGATAGCATAGTGATGGCCAAAAAATAGTTATGATAAGATTCACTTTAGTACTCTGAGGTATCTGCTTGTGTGTCAACAGGGGAGATAGTTGACCCATTACTTGATTAGCTTTGGCACATTTGGAGCTAATTTCTCTGTCCAGTTTTCCGTCAGATGTAAAAATTTCTCCCAAATACTTAAATTCCTCTGTTTGTCTCAGGGTGTTGTTTTTTAATTTAATTTCTAAATTGTCTTTATGTCTTCCTATCATCATTATCTCTGTCTTCGTAGTGTTTACTTTCATATTATATTCCTCCCCTTTGTTACTAATTTGATTTATTTACTAATTTTGATTTTTTGCAGTTTTGGGATGGCAAATCCTACTCCATGCTTTGCACGTTGCATTTCCTCTACTCCCGATTGTATCAAAACGTAATTTTTATGTAGTTTCTTCATTCCTCGTCCTTTCATTCTCACTTCTGATAAGCCTAATACTTTAACATTATATTTCTCCATTAATTCTATCACTCTTTCTTCTTTATTGCCCCATCCACATATATTGATTGTCCCTACCCTGGTCTTAACCTTTTGCCTGCCTCTATTTTCCCTATTTCTAAAACATCTCCTATTTTCATCTTGGGCATTTCTTTTTGAACCGCTGAATCCTCCGCCGACTTGCCGGGCCTGTCGCGAATTCATCTTCAACTGAACAACTACACTAATCTAACACACTAAACTTTATTTCCAGGAATAAACACATCTTTTAGTCACAATTTTTAGCGAACGTTGTTTACACCGCTATCTTGGCCAGGTAATTATGATGATCAAATCTCAAAATGATTGCATTTATCATGAGTTCCTTTGGCATGTTGTAAAGTGATCAATAACAGCCCTGAAAATGCATTTAGGTAGTTATTGATAAAATTGGACTTGGTTACTTTTTATATTGCCAGTAATGTACTGTACACATACATTCATCTCTTTCGCAATATCTTCTGTCCCAGGATATAAATGCATTTATTTATAAGTTTGACACTGGATGTACCAGGTTTGACAAGAAATCTATGGATAGAGGTGATATCCTTACTTCATAAATGAATTACCTGGTACATGTTTATAAAATTTCAAACATTTGCAGCAGTCTTGTCTTGTTTTGTCCACAATTGCCTCACAGCGTAGTGGGGAGTCGCAGTTTTCTATCCTGGGCCAGGTGTGTTGCACGTGTTGTTGTTAGTCCGTGTTGCCTCAGGATCTCTGATATATTGTCTATCCATCGTACTCTCGGTCTGCCTCTTGCTCTAGGGCAGTAGTGCTGTTCGTTGTATGCTCGTAGAGGCAGTTGGTCGGTTTGCATTCGCATCAAGTGGCCAAACCACTCTATTTGTTGCTTCTTTATATATTGCAGGCATGGTGTGGTTCCTACAATTGATCTAATGTTCTCGTTTCGAACTCTGTCTCTCCTTGTGACATTGGCAGCCTTACGTAAGCATCTCATTTTGCACGTCAGGATCTTTTTCTCCTGTGCTCTTGTTAGGGACCAGGTTTGGTATTGGTAGCAGAGGGTTGGTATAAACATGCAATTTATCAGTTGTCGCTTTAGTGCCATAGTGATGCTTGGGTGTTTTAGCAGTGGGGAGAGTTGGTAAGTTACTGCGTTCGCCTTTTGACATCTTGCCTCAAGTTCCCTATCAATTCTTCCATCAGTATCTGTTCATTATATTATTTTGTACATTTAATCAGTAGAACCATTTTATCTACCTTTTCTTCAGGATATTTTATTGGGATTGAGTGATATTGTTCTGGCCGGAGGCACAGAAAACATGAGCCAGTCCCCGTATGCTGTGAGAAATATACGCTTTGGGACCCGACTCGGTGAAGATCTTAAGGTGAGCAGACGCTTCAGCTTATAATAAAGTACCAATTACTTTAGTGGAACAAATTGCAATATAAGATCAGGTAATGAACTGATTATTAATCTTTATGAAAACCCAAACAGTGAATTTAGCAGTCAATAGCAAGTTGAGTTGCATTAAGAGAATGATTGAGGTAACTGTGTTTATTATAAAAAATACTCAAGGAAGATAATGGTTGAAGTGACTAGAAGACATCATATTGGAAGTCTAGAGTAGCCAGCATCCTTTGGATGTTTTCTCCAGTGCATGAAAATACAGATAGACTGGCTGGTAAGGCGGTTCTCAAGAGATTTATGGACTCTGTTGCTAGAGTGGCTGGATTTGATTGCCGTCACCTCCATGCCATGGATACTTTGGTGATCCTGAGAATAGAAGTTTCTAGAGAGATTTACTAGTAAAACAATAGCTTTTTAGAAGCCAGGTTGACTTCACATTTTCCTATAAGCCCCAGTGATAGAGGTCATGAGTTGCCCCATACATATTTGTTTTAGACCCCGGTGAATGCATTCCATTTAATACCTCATTGTGTTTTTGTTTATTGAGTACTCCCTTCATTTATTTCAAGTCTAAAATAATATAGATAAACAAGAACGTTGAAAAATTTTTTTAAGTTACCATTGTGAAATAGCTGTTGTTGTTTTGTTTTTTTTCCTAATGATTTTAAAAAAATTCCCATGTTTCCTGGCACATTTTTATTAGTATTCATGAGGCGAAAAGTTGGAAGATCAACCACTATGTGTATCAGTCCAGAGCTTTTGTATGTGCATGTGTCTGTGCATACATGCTTGTGTGTGTATGTATGCGTTAATGTCACATTCTTACTCCCAGAGTAAGCATCAATGGTTTAGGGATTATGAATTCAGTTTCATGATTCAAACCTCTGGGGTTTGATTTTTTTTTTTTTTTTTAACGTATCCAGAAACCATGAGTTGTAAACCCTTTGGCTCGGTACTATGGATATCGCAACCCTTCGGCATTGATTCCATTATAGGTACCGTTAATCTGGGAGAAATGTGGCTTTTCTGCCTACCCCCGGGAGTGAACCCGGACCACAAGGAGTTCGTCACCCGGCCGCCACGAAAGTCAGGTTTAACCAACTTCGCTAGAGAGCCGGGCCTGGGGTTTGATAGTACACTCATAAATATGTGAGTGTGTGTGTATATTATGCACATATCTACACACACACAGACACATATATAATATGTAATTAATCACTGGACATTTGTAGCTGCAAGATATGCTGTGGGAGGGACTCACAGATACCTATGTCAAGCAGCCAATGGGAATGACAGCAGAAAATTTGGCAGAGAAGTTTGCCATAAGCAGGGAAGAATGTGACAAATATGCAGTACAGACACAAGCAAGATGGAAGAAAGGTATTATTTTTACATTTAAAAAAAGTTGTTTTCCTCGGATTTGCATTTTAAATCTCAAAGTTGAGAATCAGACAGGTACTAATCACAGAAACCCCTTTCAACCGTACAGCCATATAGCACAGTTATATTGGGGCAATATGAAATGCTTATGAAATTGCCTGCTGTGAACGAGTGAGATTCAACCCACCAGGACATCCACCAAGCAATAGACACCCGGTGACACAAAGTGACACCATGCGGATGAGGATCACCTGGGCAGAGGTCCCAGGAAACCTGGTTCAACCGTTAGGTTATATTAAGGCCCCTGACTACAGCTGGGGTTGGGCTTCAAAATAATGAAAAATTGCGTCCCATATTGAGACGGCAGATTTGCCTGCTGTTCAGTGCGGGCTGGATTGATAATTGTTTTTGTGTGCTTGTTATAATCTTCACATTTGTTTCCTGAAGAATGTAAAAACTATGTGGTCTGTACCTATTAGTTAGAAGATAAATATGTCAGGATATTGTTTGTGCATCTGGTGAGCAACCTTATATCAAAAGGCACCCAAAAAAATCCACAAGGAGCCACGTTGTTGTTCTGCAGCAAATTTAAAATTTCAATACAGTTATGTCCCCTGCTACTAATGTTCCAATGATGTGGCACCCATTTTTAGCGGTGAGTGCATTGCTGTTTTGTTTTGTTCAGTACAAAATCAAACAGGCACTGTGGTTGCTCTCATTTGCTAGATACCTGTATGCTGGCCATAAAATCTTGTGTTCTACCATACAGGGTAGATTTTAAACAATTGAAAATGGCTCCGAAGACAACCTGGCCCAGTGGTCTCCAACCTGGAGAGGGGGGGGGGGAGCACACAGAAATGTCAAAGCGGGTGTCAAACAGTTTTGAAAGTGGCATATTTTTCTTGTAATAATTCTTTAAGATTTGTTTTATTTTAATTAAAAATCAAATATTTTAAAAACTATTTATTAAACAAAATAACAAGAACATTTTTATTTGTACATTTCTCATTACAAAAATTTAATAAATATGATAACATGCGCATTTCATCATAGATAAAAAAAACACATTCTGACCAAGACATATCTCCTTACTTACGTTTTCTTCCTTTGCGGAATCTGTTGACCTCTTTATAATTACATTTTATTATGTTTGGGGGGGAGGGAAGGGTCTTGCATGTACTCAGTGGAGGCGTGAGGATTTTGCAGTAAATTTAAGAGTGGTGTGGGGGTCTTGTCACATACTCAAGGAAGTGCAACCTAAAAAGGTTTGGAGACCACTGACCTAGCCTGAAATGGGGACCAGGAAATGTCATGGGAAGTAAAGCGGTTGGCATGATGTTTACCACATCATTATTTATTGGTATTTACAAATATGAGTCTAGCATATATTATGCAAAACTTTACTACTCTTTACTGTATACATATTTATATACATATATACATATCTGGATAAATGTCTGTTTTGCCTTTCCTCTGAGTGTAGCGAGCCAGCCGGACCCTCTAGTTACACCCAGGTGCCTCATTCTCTCCAGGCCATAATAATCTTATTTCTCTACTGATTCCGTTGCTTGTTCCCAAAGGGCCTTGACCACATCTGTCTTCTCATGTATCAATTCACCACCTAGTATTGCAGATCCAGCCAGTCTGCCTTTTCATTACCCACCATGCTGGCATTGCCTGGAGAAAAGATAGGCCATAGTTAATTGTAGACTGATTGCATATTTAATACTGGCTGCTCACAAAGTGCCCTGTTTACTCACAATGTTCCAAGCTTAGAGGGACATTGCTTGTTACTGTTCTTTTCTCTGCATGTCAATATCTGTCACTGTTTTTCCCTCTACATGCCCTATTTTCAGCCAGTTAAAAAACAATGATAATTACTTCTGTAAGAAAACAAAGAAATTTAAACAATTTCATTTGCTGGTTATTTTTTGGGTCTGGGATTATTTCTTTTGACTGCCAAGAATTGATTTCATTGTGCTCAGAACACATCCATACATGATTTATTTCCTTAGATAGCCGAGTAAGAATATTCATTGTTTACGTATAGGGCCTACTTATTTGCTTTATCTTCCTTGGTGCCTCTAGAGTTATTATTCCTCTAACCTGCAAAGTGATTGCTCATTGCCTTTTAATTTTGAATAACCTTGAAGCCAGGATCCATATAGGTGCAATAGCTCGTATTACAGATCCCATAGACAACAGAAGATCTCCATTAACTGCCTCTATCTGCATTCCTCTGTTTTCACAGTGTGGTCATTACAAATATGGAGTTTTAATTTAGTAACCCAGGGCCATTTTTTAAATCAAGTTTCCTAGTTGTTGTTTTGTTTCTTTATATTTATTACATATTTTATCTGCAGCCAACGACAGTGGGGTCTTTAAGGATGAAATTGTTCCTATAACTATCAAGGGAAGAAAAGGTAATGTTTCTTTTAAAAAGTTTTATGTTAGAATTGTATGCTTAGAAGATTGTTGAGCAACAACAAAAATGTATAATTTATTTAAATAGCACAAATTAATGGCCTCATGAGGCCTGATAGACTACAGTGGCTGGGGCATGAATGGAAGAATGGCAAACAGAACAACAAAAACTGCTTACACACACACAAGAAAATGTGAATGGGAGAATGGCAAACAGAACAACAAAAACTGCTTACACACACACAAGAAAATTTGAATGGGTGTAGACCAGAAGCAGACCAAGAAGAAGGTGGAGAGATAATATTCAGGGACAGTTACTAATACTTGGAGCCATCAACTGTAAAGAGAAGGCCAATCACAGTGATGAGTAGAAAAGGGTGATTTCTGAAGTAGTGAACCTCCAGAGCTCAGAATTTTGAAGAATACATTTTGCAGTTTTAAACTGGACATCCAAGAGTCACTGACTGATTAAACTATTAATTTCAGATATTCATCCCTACTCAGATATTGTTCTCATCCATATGTAGCAATCAGATGACTTGTCTTGAAATACCCTGAACTTTAAGACATCAGGGAAAAGCTACTTATTGTCATTTTGAACAGTTACTAAATTCGCTCTGCTGGTCACTAAAACAACTGCAAAAAACATTATGAATTAATCAAGTAACAGAAAGTATTGTGAACGGCACTCATAGAAAGAAGTAGAAAGATAGAAGAACACACTAGACAACATAAAAATCGAAAGCTATAGTTACCATGCCGGGAATTGAACCTGTCACCTCCAGACGGCGTCTGCGCCTCGCCATGAATACAAGTGCACTAAGATACATTAAAAGAAATGTATTTTTGCTGACAAGAGCTGATAACTTAGCAGCATTTAGGTCAACAACAATTCTAAAATCTTTTAAATTACTTTTATATAACAGATTATTTTTAAATGCACAGATTTAAACAGGGCAGCTGTGCTTATTGAGGCTAGCTTCAGATCAATCTGACTAGTCTGAACTTCAGCATCTCTGTCGGCTTCTATCTCTTTCGCCTTCTGTTCCATTGAAATTCTCTCTTTCTGAGTCTCTGTGTTGCCGACTAATTCCTCATCTTTAAGGATCATAGAATGTGCTAGCTCTTAATCCTCAATCAGCAACTGTACCTTATCTCTTTCTGTTTGGGCTGCTATCTTTTTGTCTTTCAATGTTCCCTGCAGGGCTGCTTGCACTGCCAGTTCTTTCTCTCTTAAAGCCCCTTCGTGTTCTTTCAAAGCTAACTGCTCTGCCAATTCTTTCTGTCTTGAAGCTGCCTCTTTTTCTTTTACAGCTACCTGCTCTGCCATTCTTTCTCTCTTACAGCCCCTTCTTTTTCTTTCATAGTTACCTGCTCTGCCGATTCTTTCTCTCTTACAGCCTCTTCTTTTTCTTTTAAAATTACCTGCTCTGCCGACTCTTTCTCTCTTACAGCCACTTCTTTTTCTTTCAAAGCTACCGGCTTTGCCAATTCTTTCTCTCTTAAAGCAGCTTCTTTTTCTTTCATAGTTACCTGCTCTGCCATTTCTTTCTCTCTTAAAGCAGCTACTTTTTCTTTCATAGTTACCTGCTCTGCCATTTCTTTCTCTCTCTTTTAGCAGCTACTTTTTCTTTCATAGTTACCTGCTCTGCCATTTCTTTCTCTCTTAAAGCAGCTACTTTTTCTTTCAAAGCTACCTGCTCTGCCAATTCTTTCTCTCTTAAAGCAGCTACTTTTTCTTTCAAAGCTACCTGCTCTGCCAATTCTTTCTCTCTTGAAACAGCTTCTTTTTCTGTCAGTACTGCTTGTAACGCTAACTGCCCTTCTAATTTCATTTCTTTCAGTTCTGTTTGTCCCACAGTGTCTTTCTGCTTCATGACTGCTTCAATCTCCTTTGCCTTATTTTGGGCTTTCAGTTCAAGTTTCTTCAATTCCCTCTTATCTGCTCGATCTTATCTGTCTGTTTGTTCTGCATATTTCTTGTCAGCCTACTTCACAACTTTTCTCCAGTCAGACCATGCTGTCTGGAAATTTCTGTAAAGTCTACAAGACTAGACATCTTGAACAGGCCTACAATTTACAATAGTTAGGCGCACCGACTGTAAACAAAACTTTCTTTCAAAATAACAATTGCCAACAAAAATATTTAGTAATAACATGTACATACAGCAGTTGCGTACATTATATAATAATAAGATACATTATCAAAATAAATTATCAGTCAGTATGGCAGATTGATAGTGAATGGTTATAGTTTTGAAACAGTTTGGATCTTATAGGGCTGACAATTTGGAAGCCGATCTCTGAAGCTCACTTCTTTTAAGCAGATTTGGTCATGAGGATGTATGGCCTATGTCTATAATCAAAATTACTCTTAACTGAACATTACTGATGTCACAGACAAAAATTTACACCTGAAAACACCTATTAAAAGTTTTTTGTAATCTAAATGTAATGCAAGACTAATTCAGTGATAATGTACTCTAAGAAACACTGATCAACAAGGCAGCACAAATGGTAATTACAGGGACTAAAAACTAGCCAGATGACACAAGCATGTATTTTAACAATAGACTCATTAGCAGTTGTAAGTTGCCAGCGTGTCTAGAATTAGAACCACTGATGTGTAAATATATGTGCCCTACAACGTTGCAATATGCGATTGATGAACACTTAGCCCTGCCAACCGCCCATACTTAAATGAAGTGATGTAAAGGATATACAGGACTGACAGAAAGTGTACGGAGCCAGTGTTCCAGTACAACAGAAAGGGTGTCTAGGACAGTACTGCTTGTAACAACGCTAACTGGAACAAGTCAGGCTAAAAACAGAATCAAAACAGAAAAAAACTTAATTAACTATTCTCCAGTCCTGGATGCTTGACACCCCCCCCCCCCCCCCCCCCCCTTCTCCTTTCCGCACAGCACATGGTGATGCCAAGAAGATCTCGACTTGAGTATCAGAGACACAGCTTGCACCTCGTCCTTCCACTTCTCTTAAACAGGCATCAACACTTTCTCATTGTCACAGTCAATTACTACAACTTTTAGTCACCACCATTTGTATATCCAAAATACACACAATTTTCATTAGTCAAAACAACTCTATGCTACTCACCATACACCTAACTTTAAGAGTTCTACACTTTTTTTAGAGGTTGGGTTCAAGACCGGACAACAGGTGCCACTTTCTGTCAGAAACCTGCTTTAAGCCTTAATGGCAATGGCTCGTTGGTAGCTCCATGACAGAGCTATCTTTCTCAACTAACTTAACACCATCAGAGCATACACAGTAGCCTTTAATATCATTTACAATAAGTGATCTACAGTTCACCCTAGAAGTGACACACAAACTCTACCCCAACCAGCCAGAGTACTTTGCAGTTGCCACTCACACAGTGGCCTTCCATTTGCTTCCAGGCATTAAATGGGTCCAAACCATTAGCCTCTAACCCAAGCTCTTTCCTATGCCTCTGCACCTCACACTGTGACTGCTGTGCTAATGCAAAGCTTTGTGTTGTGTGATCAGACAGACTGCGTCACTGTGCTGAGTTACCCGGGTACCATGCCCATGAACACATTCTGGTTTTCTTCTTTATTGACAAACCCCTTTCACGAACCACCTCTCTAAGATAAAGCTAAGTACCTGAGTGAAAATGGCTATCTCTATATAACACAGACAATACACTGCCCAACCAGCATTTAATTTATAATACCATCAAGCTAACACATCATCACAAACTACCCATTGCTAACTTAAATCAATAACAGAAAAACCTAGTGGTCAAAACACAACACTTCTTGTCCAAGTCTCTTAGTCAACTCCCTGAAAACCCTTCGCTTTGTCGGTTTTGTCTGGTCCATCGCTCACCATGTGTTAGTAAACTCCCCCTGAATCCTGGAATCTTCACTCGTTGTCCTTGCCAAAACTCCCATGGGTTGTTGAACACGTAATCATCTGTGTGCATTCATTATCATCACCTCCAGTCATCCCATAGCCACACAGGCCTTGACAACATTGTTTTATTTAAATTTAAAACTTATAAAGCCGTAAATCATGTTGACATGCATGAAGAAAACTGCTCTGCTGCCATACTGTTTTTGAACAAACCGCAAATATACTATATTTTATGCTTTTATTAATGTTTCCATATAAACTTAATGAACAAACACATATATTATTCATAACAATGACCAGTTAGGCCATTCAGAAATGTGCATTTATGTTTTCAAACAGCCCAGCAATATATTTGAAAAAGAGACATATAATTGACACATCATGCATTCATTCGCCTTTTGGCTAGGAACATATGAATGTTTGATGCATTCCTTGGAGCTGAAAGAGTCAAACCTTGCCACTATGTAATATTTTTAGCAAAACTATTGACAGATTCTATAAAAGTTTCAGTCACATAATAGTTAATGCATCTTTGCACTTGTGCATAAATGGTAATGACAGGGACTAAAAACTAGCCAGACGACACAAGCGTGTATTTTGACAATAGACTCGTTAGCAGTTGCCAATTGCCAGCGTTTCTAGAACTAGGATGCTGATACATAAATGTATGTGCCCCTGCAAAGATGGTAATCTAGGTTCAATACCCAGCAGAAACAGGCAAGTATTTTCTGCCTAGAACAGCACTGGGGTTGTGCATGTGTGCAGTTTCTTCCCTTTAGACTGCCACCTAAAGCTTTGACACCCAGAGGTTACAAAATCTCAGTTGAGATGGCAGATCAGCAGGGCAATCCTAGATACCTCATTCAGCCTCAGAAGGAGTTATAATTAAGGCACCGGTAATGGCCACACCAGCCAGGTGTATAACCTGCAGTGTATGCGGGTAAGGATGCCTCACCAACTAGGTGTATAACCTGCAGTGTATGGGGGTAAGGATGCCTCACCAACTAGGTGTATAACCTGCAGTGTATGCGGGTAAGGATGCCTCACCAACTAGGTGTATAACCTGCAGTGTATGGGGGTAAGGATGCCTCACCAACTAGGTGTATAACCTGCAGTGTATGGGGGTAAGGATGCCTCACCAACTAGGTGTACCTGCAGTGTATGCAGGTAAGGATGCAACACCAACTAGGTGTACCTGCAGTGTATGGGGGTAAGGATGCCACACCAACTAGGTGTTCCTGCAGTGTATGGGGGTAAGGATGCCTCACCAACTAGGTGTACCTGCAGTGTATGCAGGTAAGGATGCCACACCAACTAGGTGTACCTGCAGTGTATGGGGGTAAGGATGCCACACCAACTAGGTGTTCCTGCAGTGTGTGCAGGTAAGGATGCCTCACCAACTAGGTGTACCTGCAGTGTGTGCAGGTAAGGATGCTACACTAACTAGGTGTACGTGCAGTGTAAGGGGGTAAGGATGCCACACTAACTAGGTGTACCTACAGTGTATGCAGGTAAAGATGCCACACTAACTAGGTGTACCTGCAGTGTATGGGGGTAAGGATGCCACAGTAACTAGGTGTACCTACAGTGTATGCAGGTAAAGATGCCACACCAACTAGGTGTACCTGCAGTGTATGGGGGTAAGGATGCCACACTAACTAGGTGTACCTGCAGTGTATGGGGGTAAGGATGCCACACTAACTAGGTGTACCTGCAGTGTGTGCAGGTAAGGATGCCACACTAACTGGGTGTACATGCAGTGTATGGGGGTAAGGATGCTACACCAACTAGGTGTACCTGCAGTGTATGGGGGTAAGGATGCCACACCAACTAGGTGTACCTGCAGTGTATGGGGGTAAGGATGCCACACCAAATAGGTGTATAACCTGCAGTGTATGGGGGTAAGGATGCCACACTAACTAGGTGTACCTGCAGTGTATGGGGGTAAGGATGCCACACCAAATAGGTGTATAACCTGCAGTGTATGGGGGTAAGGATGCCACACTAACTAGGTGTACCTGCAGTGTATGGGGGGTAAGGATGCCACACCAACTAGGTGTACCTGCAGTGTATGGAGGTAAGGATGCCACACCAAATAGGTGTATAACCTGCAGTGTATGGGGGTAAGGATGCCACACTAACTAGGTGTACCTGCAGTGTATGGGGGGTAAGAATGCCACACTAACTAGGTGTACTTGCAGTGTATGGGGGTAAGGATGCCTCACCAACTAGGTGTACCTGCCGTGTATGGGGGTAAGGATGCCTCACTAACTAGGTGTACCTGCCGTGTATGGGGGTAAGGATGCTACACCAACTAGGTGTACCTGCAGTGTATGCAGGTAAGAATGCTACACAGGCTACATGAAAGTTGCAGTCTTATGTGGGTCATATGTTTAATAAGCGCTTGAGTTAACCCAACCTCATGAGTATAGGTTCCAAACAATTTTCTGTGTCCTGTCCTGAAAGAAAACTGGTGAGGAACTGAACTGAATACCACACATCATACCTTGTCTATTAGAATATGTGAATGTTTAATGCTCCACACATTACAGAAGTTACTACTGTGTTACAACCTTCAACATTAAATCACACTGGACATGACCTCTGTAAATGAGAAATAAATTATCTTTTTTGAAATATTAGGAGATGAAGTTTTTGAGGTAGATGAACATCCTAGAGCAGCCACCCTTGAAGGTATGGCCAAACTTCCACCAGTTTTCAAGAAAAATGGAACAGTCCATGCAGGAAATGCTTCAGTAATTATTCATTCATATTTGTTTTTCTAAACACCTTTCAGCCGTATTTTGTTTTTGTTAGTAAATTTTTTACCTGTCTCGTATTTAGTTTCTGTTAGTAAATATTTTACCTGTCTCGTATTTTGTTTCTGTTAGTAAGTTTTGTACCAGTCTCATATTTAGTTTCTGTTAGTAAATATTTTACCTGTCTCGTATTTAGTTTCTGTTAGTAAATTTTTTACCTGTCTCGTATTTAGTTTCTGTTAGTAACTATTTTACCTGTCTCGTATTTAGTTTCTGTTAGTAAATTTTGTACCAGTCTCATATTTAGTGTCACTACATGTATTTTAATTTAATAGTCAGTTTCCCTATTATTTAATTTTAACTCAGTATAACTGTGAGTAGCCGCTGGCTGAGCTATTAAAAAGCTTGGCTTTCATTTAGGAAATGTGGGTTTGAACCCTCGTCATGGTAATAAAAATTGTTTCTGCTTGAAACAAAAATTAAAATCCTGACCCGCACAGTTCGTAGTGACTGTACTAACATTGATTTGTGCAGCTGCTCTCCAGTGAGAGATGAAGCCCTGTGGGATAAAACCTAGTAAATTCTCTCACCTTTATAATACCCTTTTTATGGCATCAGATAATATTAACTTGTTTTCTGGCCAACATGGCTTTTAGCCAGATGACTGCTGATACTCTGAAAAGTTATTTGTTTCCAGCAAAGTTTTGTTGATGCAAATTCCTCACTGTTGGATCAGGAGTCCAAAGGTTTAGTTGACCAGCTACTGGGTTGAGTGCTTGGTGTGACACTGGTAGCCGTGGATTTCTTATGGAATAATTTTTTATATTGTGCCTGCAGCATGTTGTTGACTGCATTAAAATAACATGGCATGAACTTCTTTTTGAACAATGCCTGCTTTTGTGATTGACTGTCCGCACCAACACTGAGCTGTAATTCTGGTGTGGGCTGTTAGTGTTGGCATATCTGATAGTTCCCTTATGCATTTTTATTTTGCGTGTGCACGCTTCAAGATTTTGCTGGGAATGGCAAGTTTTCCAGTAGTTTTCTCCAATGGAACAGCGAAGAACATTATGTGTGATTTCCACTGGCACAGTAATGGAGCAGTTGTAGGGTGACCAGTCTGCAGTGACATTTGAACCTTGACTTACTAACTGATGAGCTACTTCACTTGCCAGAACAACTCATCAGGCACAAGAGAGAAATCCAGACTAACTTCCCAACAATGCTTGATGATGGCCAGTGACCAGAACACAGATGGTGCAACTGCTTTTGGTCTTAGTTTTAGGACTGGGTCCATTTTACAACTTAAGGGTGCATGATGCTGATCATCATCAACAAGTGCCTTGCCAGCTGGCGAAGGTGTTCATGCATCTCCACAGATCTTGGTGTTCTGGATCAATTCTACTGATGATATTCCTCCGTGTCACTGTCTTAAGCCATCCACCATCATTTCTCTTGGTCTGCCTCTGCCTCCTCAGCCACTGATCTTTCCAGTCGTCACGAATTTTCATACAATACTAGCCTCAGTATTTCTTGTAGCCAGTCAGCATTGATGGGTGATGTAGTTGGTATCATGTTATCTGCTTTTATATCCTAGATAATCAAGTTATCACTGTTCCAACTTCATAGTTGCTCCCTTTCTATGCCAACAACAACAACAACAAAACAAATAAAATGTCCATCTCTGTCCCTTGGTTTGAAAAAAAATTTTTTTAATCTGCAGTTCACAACACAAACCATGTTGGGCACAGTCGAAACCATACCAAATTAAATTGACAGCTCACAGTTCTGCGCCATGCACTCAGCTCTGTAGCTTGGCGACAGAATTATATCCTTTCAGTTTACGTGGATGAATATGCAACAGCTAACTGTTGTCAGAAGCAAAAACTTGCTACAACTAAAAACAATAAACCTGCCTAGCTACTATATTAACTGGAATTTTCTTCCCAGATTTTTTCCTGGTACTCATTTTGGAGGGAGCCACCATGGTGTAGCAGCTAGATACTCACCTGTGGAGTGGAAGATCATGGGTTCAAGTCATGATGGAGCCGGACATTTTTTTTAAAAATTACTATGCTCCAAGGTCAACCCAATAGCTTTCAATCTGCAGGCGAGCGTCCGGCCACTACACCATGGCAGTCCACCGGAAGTACAACACAGATGTGATTGCTCAGCTGTGGAATAAGGTTACAGTTAAAATTGAAGCTAATTGAAAATCCATCTCTAGAGAGAATGTTGCAGCAGGGGATGTGTGCGAGCTGTGGCTACCACCACTCACAATTCAGGGGAAAGGCAAGACGAGTATTTAACTAGATTACAGTAGGTACCATCTGTATTGAGACTCTTTGTTGGATGCTGAGGAGTGGGACAGAACTGATATGGGCTTGCCCTGAATGCTGTGATGTTGAGGAGTGGGACAGAACTGATATGGGCTTGCCCTGAATGCTGTGATGTTGAGGAGTGGGACAGAACTGATATGGGCTTGCCCTGAATGCTGTGATGTTGAGGAGTGGGACAGAACTGATATCGGCTTGCCCTGAATGCAGTGATGTTGAGGAGTGGGACAGAACTGATATCGGCTTGCCCTGAATGCAGTGATGTTGAATCATTACCCAGATGAAGCCAACCTGGAAGCACAGGTTTTACTCCAAATAAATCTCCTTTTCAGTGGAGGTTCTTGAGTGAGGACCAGCATCAAAACTAGGAATAGAGGTAGAACAAGAAGGAAAAGAAGAGACGGAGGGAGAGAAGTAAGTTAATAAATGAGGTGAGCTAGAAATTTTACAAAAAATATGGCTTGGCATCAGTTACATGATGACCTTCAATATGTTTAGGATCTGTACTGAAACATTACCTACTGCAGCTTCCCTTGTTAACCTTAATATTAAAGTAAATTTCAATACTAAATGTAATTAATCTGTATGCTAGGGAATCTGTGATGGTGCCAGTGCCTTGATTCTTGCCAGTGAAGCCGCTTTGAAGAAATTTAAATTGCAGCCTTTGGCTCGAATTGCGTCCTTTGGAATTTCTGGTAAGACATATTTCATAAAATGTGTGATTCTGCTTGTTGTTGAGTTGAACCCTAATAGGACAGCCCATGAAGAGATTAACACCTGGTCTCCCACTGCAAATGTGTAGATGCTAACTGTCCCCATAGCACACTGATTATACACACGCAATTCTCTTCCTCTCATACTTCCCTCCTTGCCGGATCCACACTTGTTTCCTTGTTCACACATTCCTACACATGTTATTTCATCTAATCTGTGTCTTCTGTCAACATTCGTTCATATATAGTCTTCAGAATATCCCCTTTGTCCAGTACACATGTTCCCATAACGTTCACTTTTGTAGCCAGAAAATCTGCTCTTTCTAAATTGTTACAAAGCAACCTGAAGTCCAGACATGGTAGGGCATTGTTAGTGTCATGATCATGTTATTTCTGGTTCTTGATATAGTTGCTTTCAAGAAGTAATTACTCTGTTATTTCTGAATACATCTGAGTTAAAAATAACACTTTCTGCTTGAATGAAAGTAAGGGTAGGTAATTAGCAGATACTGTCAATGGAAATGTAAAGTATTTTTTTTTTTTTAATTATTTGTTAAGTTCTTCCCCTCCAGGTTTGCACTGTAGGATTAACACCTCCAGGTTGAGATTCAAACAGATACAAATCTCTGAAACCACTTTGAACCATATAATACAGTTATATTAGGTCAGCACATTACAGTTAAGAAATAACCTGCGGTCAAGCGTGGATTAATCCTTCACATATTTATACCATGTGCACAGTTAAAATGTAGCACCTAGATACTTATCTAACGGCCTGAAGATTTTTTTTTTTTTTTAATTGTGGGTCTCTCGGGACCTGAAACCTCTGAAATGATGCATGGTATAAAAAGAATCCTTGATTTCATCTTTACTTTGCATCATATACTATTACGAATGAGATAAGATTTCTTTTATTTACAATTAATGGATAGTTGTACACTCTTTACAATAATGGATAGAAGCCTCCCACTTCTTTTCTTTTTCTCCTCCTGCTTCTTCATCTTATTTTTCTGCATCCTCTGCTGTCCCTTATTCATAATTTATAGTAGGGGCTCTCAACCAATTGGCACCAAGCCAACATTGTCTTTTGCTGTTCCCTGCAGATTTTTCCATGAATTAACTCATGCCTTTTTTCTTCTGATCTTTATTCCCAGTTTCAGTACAGATCCTAAACTAATTGAAGGTCATCATCTAACTGATGCCAAGCTGTAATATTTTTGTAACCTTTCCAGTTCACCTCATTTATTAACTTACTTCTCTCCCTCTGTCTCTTCTTTTCCTTCTTGTTCTACCTCTATTCCCAGTTTTGATGCTGATTCTCACACAGACCATCCTGTCATTTGCAACCACTTGTAGCTCACTCCATGCATTACCCCACACATTTGCAACCACTTGTAGCTCACTCCATGCATAACCCCACACATTTGCAACCACTTGTAGCTCACTCCATGCATTACCCCACACATCTGCAACCACTTGTAGCTCACTCCATGCATTACCCCACACATTTGCAACCACTTGTAGCTCACTCCATGCATTACCCCACACATTTGCAACCACTTGTAGCTCACTCCATGCATAACCCCACACATTTAAAAGTAAACTGCTGTTGCCCAAGACAGCTGCTTGACCCACTCTATCCTAGTTATTGCTGTAACTTTTTTTTAGAAACATATATACCTTTTTTTTCTGTTACAACTGTCTGAAACAAGCAGGATTTCAGAGTTATTCTAAGTTTGTGATTTTTGTGTTGATCAAGGCTGTGACCCAAAAATCATGGGTATCGGTCCAGTCTCAGCTTCAAAGGCTGCCTTGGCCGCTATAGGGAAGACTATCAAAGATATGGATGTTGTGGAGGTAAGTTAATGAGAACTGTGGATAAATTGTATTCTCTGTTGCCTAACACTTTTGAGTCCAATTGGCTTTAGCATCAGAGGCCCAAGGTAATGTAATTTTGAAATGTCACAAGTGTTACACATTAAAACAGTCCCTACTAATTCAGCTGCTGTGCAACATACACGTGTTATACATCAAGGTGACCAAGGATTAGTGGGGAATAATGTTACAATACTGCTACAAAAAAATTGTGGTAATAGTTAATTATTATTAAATAGACAGATGGTATGTTTAGAAAAATTAGTTTTAAAAAAATAATTGTTCCACTTACTGCCATGGCACTGAAGGAAAACTTGATAAAATATATCCAAAATGAATCACAAATGAACATGAACCACTTATTAATGTAAAAATAAAATATAAACATAAGATTTGGTTACAGAGAAACTTTTAGATCATCATTACAGAGCACTAATTTTTGGTACAGAAAAATGAACTCTGAAAACTATTAGTATTTTCACAAAAATGAACTTTATATAGCACTTAATTTGCCCATAGTTTTATAGCCTTTGTTTCCAAATAATAGGGGAATCACACTAGACCTCACTCTGAAAAAGATATTGCCTTTTTCACAAATATTTATTTTCTTTGTACCAGTTGACTTTTTTATCGTTGTAGGCTTTGCATGAAGTATATATCAGAGCTGAAACAAGTCTACTTCAAAACTTTCTTTGTCTAGCTTTGGATAAATCCGATAAACACGTGTTTTATTTAAATATGAGGCTTTGAAAGTCATAAATATTGTTCGCATGCATAAAGAAGTCTACTCGGAGGTTATTTTATTTTCACACAAACAGTAACTCGGTTAAGCTCACAAACATGCTACATTTTAAGCTTTTAACCACGTTTTCGAATAAGCCTAATGGTCAAAATGTGTGACTTAGATCACAAAGATCAAGAAACATATTCAAAAATGCTGGTTTACATTGTTATACTGGCCAGTTGTAAATTAAAAACCAGTATGCGTCATGTGCCAGTAAGCCCCCTTCATAGTAACTGATTAGCACGTGATGTGTTTATTCCTTGAGACTCAAAGAATTAATGATCTTGAAGATCTTAACAAAGAGTACCCTCACAAAGAAGGGTAGGCGCACACTTCCCTTTTTTCATTTGTTAGAAATGTATTTATTCTTGAAAATCTGATTCCTTTCAATTTTGTTGGGTTCTTGTCATGTTTCCATTAGTTGAATATTATAAAAATTTATGTTGCTGATTTAGCTACAGGCATGTTTCATACAGGAGTCACGGCAACACATGACTAGCACAATAATTGAATTACGAATCGACACTGCACCTCTCGGTTCATTCCCATAAGTGCTTCATCCTGACCTTTAGCAGCCAGTGCAGAGGTCCAATTCTGATGGTACCAGTAGCAATTTGATTGTTTGTCTATCTTGCCTTTCCGTTGAGTGTCAGTCATCAGTCACATCCTCTGGTCACGTCCTGCTGAATCAAACTTTCCAGACCAGGATAATCTAATTCTACCTCAGCTGTGTTTAGTACTTTAACTCTCTTGCAAAATATAGTCAGGTTTATTGCTAGTTTATAACTTCTTCTGCTTCTTTGCATTTACTAGCTGTAAACTCCAGCAACAAATTTATGATTGTTCGTCAGTTTCTGGACTTGATCTTGTTCCAGAACTTGAGTGTTTGCATGCACATCCATTTTACAAATCTAGCTTATTTGTATACAGACTTTTGATTCCTTGCCTCTCAGGCAGATACACTCCAACCTCAAAGGAAGCCTTCAATTAGTTGACTCCTATAACATGCTTGGGAAGGCAGAGGGTCTGTTCTGATTTTCCTATAATCGGGCCCTGCAACCAGCATGAAGACAGCTGTTTACATTGTAGTGACAGTTTTTCAGAAAGAAACAAATTGGCAGGTACAGTGCTAGAATGCTCAGAGAAGTTGATGAACATTAAATGGGAGGGAGGAATTAAAGAAACATGCAGAAATGTCTGGACAACTGCATCAAGACTTGTAAGAAAAGGATGTCAATTTATTGCATACATCATGAGGAGAAGTGGTCAGAGAGTTCTGTGAATTGGTTGAAGGCCTGTACTCCATTGAAAGATGACATGTGGAAAAAGAAGGAGATGATGATAAAGAAGGAGACGGAGGAGAAACATTGTTTTGAGTTATGTAAAAGTTGATGGCCATAAATACTGGTCTGACAATGTGATGGTTTAGCGGCTAGTCGCTCACCTGTGCATCTGGAGGTCAAGGATTCAGGTGCTGACCTTGGCTGCCACCTCAAACATGGCTTAAATGGCTACCAGGTACAGTCTAGTGAAGTAAATTGGCATGATGTTGACCGCTTCACCCACAAAGTGCTGACTGGTCTATAAAATATAGGTCTAGCCATGTATGTCCTATAGGTCTAGCCATGTATGTCCTATAGGTCTAGCCCTGTATGTCCTATAGGTCTAGCCATGTATGTCCTATAGGTCCAGCCATGTATGTCCTATAGGTCCAGCCATGTATGTCCTATAGGTCTAGCCATGTATGTCCTAAAGGTCTAGCCCTGTATGTCCTATAGGTCCAGCCATGTATGTCCTAAAGGTCCAGCCATGTATGTCCTATAGGTCTAGCCATGTATGTCCTATAGGTCTAGCCATGTATGTCCTATAGGTCTAGCCATGTATGTCCTATAGGTCTAGCCATGTATGTCCTATAGGTCTAGCCATGTATGTCCTATAGGTCTAGTCCTGTATGTCCTATAGGTCTAGCCATGTATGCCCTATAGGTCCAGCCATGTATGTCCAATACACCTGAAGGGTCCTTATCAACAAGATTACTATAAAATGTTAGTGCCACATATTGCCTTCTGTGAGATTTAATGAATCACTGAGTTTAAAATGAAGATATGGCATTTTGATATATTTGTTTAACTTTTAGTCCCCAGGTATAATATCAAATGTAGTAAACTATTAACCATATATACCAGAAGCTCATTGTGTGATTTTTACATTTGGCTAGCACATACTAAGGGAACCTGTCTAGTTATTTTCACATAATGTACAATATGTTTTGCTGGATCTGTGACAATAAAAACTCATCCTTCACCTGTTGTGACTATCACTACCTATTGGCATAGGTAGAAAGGTGTTCTGTGCTGAAGAAGTTAAAATTATTTTGTTCCAATAGGTAAATGAGGCCTTTGCACCCCAGTTCTTGTCTGTGAGTAAAGAGTTGGGTCTCGACAATGATAAAACTAATGTCAATGGTGGTGCCATAGCTCTAGGACATCCTCTGGGAGCATCTGGAGCCAGGATAACAACCAATCTTGTTCATGAAATCAGGTAACATTTGTTGGTTTGTTTTGAATGTTATAGAAAGAAAATACTCACTATATGCATTATAGAACCTCATTTGGGAGAGGTGGTGGGGTATACACCTACTGTTCCTTAAAAATATATGTTGCGAAAGCTGACCAATTAAGGGTTTACCAAATTTGAATGTGTTGATTCAAAAGGTGTCACCAACAATACACGAAGAGACAGAGTCACAAACGTCAGCATTAGAGACAAAGTTGGAACAAGAGCATGCATGAAACATATTGAAAGACAGTGAATGAAGTGGTTTAGCCATTTAGTAAGAATGCAACCGGACCAGATTGCCTTTAAGGCCTTTTACAGCAGAACATCGGGAAGAAAGGCCAGAGGAAGACCCAGGAAAAAATGGATAGATGGAGTAGCTGAATACGGCCAGAAGATCCAGAAAACTGTCACTCAAATCAGGCGAGAGGCACAAAACAAATATTTTAAACCACGACACTGGACTGCAACCCGGTAAAAGTGAAGAAGACAATAGATAGATAGATAGATTCAAAAGGTGCAGATATGACTGCCCAGCTTTAAACCACAACACAAAACACCAACTATCTTTTTTTTTAAGTTTAGTGCAGAAGAAAGCAGATGCTAAGATTAGTTAGACAGTTAATTTGAAATCATTGTCATTAATTAATACTTATCATGCGCTCATTTATAGTCATTGTTTTTCACTTAACTGTGATAACTTGCTTTGTTCACTGTTTCCAGGGCTTTTCCTATACAAAAAAGTACCGGTACTCACCACATGGTGTCTAAAAAAGGTGCCTGTATGCAGCACAGAAAGTGTCTATTACAGTAGTGCTGGTGCTATAAAAAAAATGATGCCAGAAAAGTTGCCAGTACTGTGCACCATTGTGTAACATAAAAAAAAAAAAATCCCTGGCTGTTCCCTTTCATTTATAATATTCACTGTGCACCTGATGCGAAGTTTTTCAGCTTCAGCTCACTGCAACAAAACCTCTTTAATAATTAAATTATAAAGCAGAAAGAAACTTCTCCAGTACAGGAAATGAGAGATCCCTATGTGGTTTCCAAGGCCCATTTGGGCGGGGGAGGGGGGGGGGGGTGGAAGCATGTTGTAAAATGATTAAAAATGATTACTTATTAAGGACCCCTGAAAGCATGATGTAAAATGATGACTTTTTAGGGACCCCTGAAAGCATGTTGTAAAATGATTACTTATTAAGGACCCCTGAAAGCATGTTGTAAAAGGATGACTTATTAGGGACCCCTGTCAAGCATGATGTAAAAGGATGACTTATTAGGGACCCCTGTCAAGCATGATGTAAAAGGATGACTTATTAGGGACCCCTGTAAAGCATGTTGTAAAAGGATGACTTATTAGGGACCCCTGTCAAGCATGATGTAAAAGGATGACTTATTAGGGACCCCTGTCAAGCATGATGTAAAAGGATGACTTATTAGGGACCCCTGTCAAGCATGATGTAAAAGGATGACTTATTAGGGACCCCTGTCAAGCATGTTGTAAAAGGATGACTTATTAGGGACCCCTGTCAAGCATGTTGTAAAAGGATGACTTATTAGGGACCCCTGTCAAGCATGTTGTAAAAGGATGACTTTTAGTTGGGGCTGGTGTCTAGAGTCTGATTTTCCCCACAAGTAACACATGCACATGAGGTACATTTATTTTGAAAAGGTCCACTGTACTATCACACACAGCCTTGTATGCAGGAAACTCCGAGTTGGGCTATGTGAATTAAACGTCCTCTTCCTTCCACAGTAAACACATGAAATGATAAATGAACAGTGTCTGTGGACTCATATACAATGACATAACACGCAGATACACACAGTCATCTCATCTAAAGACTGAATCTAACACACAGGCTGAAATACTGTCTACTTCTCTGAAGACTAGATATAACTCAGTAATGGCAAACAGGCAGAAATGCTGTCTTTCCTCTGAAGACTGGATCCATTTACAACAAATTATCTCTAAATTCCAAGGTGTGACTTGGACGAGGGTTCTTATATACACTACAGCAGCAGCTCAGAATACCTGCAGGAGTGCAGAAGTTTGGGTGAATCACATGAATGCTGCCACACGGTGCTATGGGTCCATTTTATGCACAACTACTGTACGGCTTCCCTCTCATCTCTGTGTGGATCACCGTAACTTGATACTGCAAAGTGGAAACATGTCCACTTACTTACCGGGGACTTCCAGCAACTGCTCACACAACTCAGCGATGGACCACTATTCTTTCCCCTGGACTCACACACTGATCTTACAAAATGTGCTTTCCACGATTTCCAGCAAGATTGCTCCTTGCCCATGGAAAACACTTTCCAGTAATATTTTCTGACCTGACAGCTTCCTATCCATGAGTTTTCTACTTACCACCTACTCTGCAAGCGTCACCTGACCAATCAGCACTCATTCCAATCTCCACTCTGACCATTCATGCACATTCATGAGACCTCCACTATAAGTGCTTCATCCTTTTTAGGACGAAATTTTTTTTATTTGAAGCCCCACCCTGGCTTTTGCCAGGGGCCGCAATATAGGCAGGCCATAAATATGGCCTGAACGCGGTTTCTGGGACCTCTCCACAGCGATCCTTATCCACATGGTGGCACTTTGTGCCATCGGGTGTTTATCGCTTGTGTGATGTCCTAGTAGGGTAGAAAGTCAGTCAGTCAGTCAGACCTCCAGTATACTATTGAGAGTGATTACCAACAGTATTGCAGTGGCTTTTAACCTTTTTTTCAGATGGCATCCCTCCTCTGAATATACAGAAGACCCTCCCCCATCCCCCACCCGGCCCCCCCCCTTTTTTCCAAGTTAAAAACAAGTGATTAAAAAGAGGAAGACAAAAAGAAACTATTATCCACAGCTGGTAATTTAGTGTTCAGATATCTGTGTGACAGTTGACACTCTTTTGTCTTGATGATAACTGCTATTTTTTTTACTGATGTTGAACAAGGCACAAAGGAATACTGAAAAATAAAATGTTAGTATAAGAGATTATTAAAAGTACAAATGGACTGAGTTTCAAAATTGCTTAACATTCCCTTTGAAACTTCCTTGCGCTCTTCTAGGGGTCACCCCGCCAGGTTGAAAACCACTGCTGTAGTGTAAGACATCTGGTTTTATGAAGTGAAGTATCATTAACTATGATTTCTTCTTCAGGCGACGACAGCTGAAATATGCATTGGGTAGTGCATGTATTGGAGGTGGACAAGGCATCACAGTTATCGTGGAGAATGTTTAACATGTATTAATGTTTACATATTTGTACATCATGCATTACTTTTTTTCATGAAGTGTACATGTATTGGAATTACCCCTTAACCATTTGTAATCATCATCATGTAGCAGGTGCTTTGCTCTCGTCATGACCTGCTGGAATGATTCTCAGTCCTCTCCCTTTAACATTTCATGTCCAGCATGTCTTTATTTTCCTGTGGCTGTGGTCACTATTTTTTTTTTTTTTTTTATTTTCAATTTTTTTTTCAATTATTATTATTCTTTTTCTAGAAACCATAACTTCTATTATTGTTCAACTATTCTGAGTCACTGTGGCATTTAGTGTCGGCCAAGTTAATTCAGATGGGCCCCAAAACTTAGTTTCCATCTTCTGAAGCGGTTTATGTGTCAGTTTTTTTTTGACATTCAGACATTGTGTAAAGAATGGCAAAATGTTTCTGCTTCTTGATTTGTGGTACTCTAAGAAGTTTTCTCTAAGTATTTAAGTTAACAAATATTTATTTTCTTCTTAAGAAATTTCAAAATGGACCATCACACCTAACAGGGCCATGACAAAAGGCTGTTGAAAACTTTCTTTAGCTGTGATTCTCAATCTGTTTCCATACAGTTGTTCCGGAATATTCTAAACTATGTTGTTTTCCCCTTTTTCTGATATTTTAGGCAAAATTATAATTGTCACTTCCCAACGTTTGTATTAAGTAATCTTTATTTATTAACCCCTTTAAAAAAAACAGGTTATTTATGTTCTCTGAGAAATTGTAAGTGTTCTTTAGTAAAACCCCCATCTCTGAGGCCTCGAATTGTAAGTGTTCTCTAGTAAAACCCCTATCTCTAAGGCCTTGAATTGTAAGTGTTCTCTAGTAAAACCCCCATCTCTGAGGCCTCAAATTGTAAGTGTTCTTTAGTAAAACCCCCATCTCTGAGGCCTCGAATTGTAAGTGTTCTTTAGTAAAACTCCCATCTCTAAGGCCTTGAATTGTAAGTGTTCTCTAGTAAAACCCCCATCTCTAAGGCCTTGAATTGTAAGTGTTCTCTAGTAAAACCCCCATCTCTAAGGCCTTGAATTGTAAGTGTTCTTTAGTAAAACCCCCATCTCTAAGGCCTTGAATTGTAAGTGTTCTTTAGTAAAACCCCTATCTCTAAGGCCTTGAATTGTAAGTGTTCTCTAGTAAAACCCCCATCTCTAAGGCCTTGAATTGTAAGTGTTCTCTAGTAAAACCCCCATCTCTAAGGCCTCAAATTGTAAGTGTTCTCTAGTAAAACCCCCATCTCTGAGGCCTCAAATTGTAAGTGTTCTTTAGTAAAACCCCCATCTCTAAGGCCTCAAATTGTAAGTGTTCTCTAGTAAAACCCCCATCTCTAAGGCCTTGAATTGTAAGTGTTCTCTAGTAAAACCCCCATCTCTAAGGCCTCAAATTGTAAGTGTTCTCTAGTAAAACCCCCATCTCTGAGGCCTCAAATTGTGAGTGTTCTCTAGTAAAACCCCCATCTCTAAGGCCTCAAATTGTAAGTGTTCTCTAGTAAAACCCCCATCTCTAAGGCCTTGAATTGTAAGTGTTCTCTAGTAAAACCCCCATCTCTAAGGCCTCAAATTGTAAGTGTTCTCTAGTAAAACCCCCATCTCTAAGGCCTTGAATTGTAAGTGTTCTCTAGTAAAACCCCTATCTCTAAGGCCTTGAATTGTAAGTGTTCTCTAGTAAAACCCCCATCTCTAAGGCCTCAAATTGTAAGTGTTCTCTAGTAAAACCCCCATCTCTAAGGCCTTGAATTGTAAGTGTTCTCTAGTAAAACCCCCATCTCTAAGGCCTTGAATTGTAAGTGTTCTCTAGTAAAACCCCCATCTCTAAGGCCTTGAATTGTAAGTGTTCTCTAGTAAAACCCCCTTCTCTAAGGCCTTGAATTGTAAGTGTTCTTTACTAAAACCCCCATCTCTAAGGCCTCAAATTGTAAGTGTTCTCTAGTAAAACCCACATCTCTAAGGCCTTGAATTGTAAGTGTTCTTTAGTAAAACTCCCATCTCTAAGGCCTTGAATTGTAAGTGTTCTTTAGTAAAACCCCCATCTCTAGAGGCTTCGAATTGTAAGTGTTCTCTAGTAAAACCCCCATCTCTAAGGCCTTGAATTGTAAGTGTTCTTTAGTAAAACCCCCATCTCTAGAGGCTTCGAATTGTAAGTGTTCTCTAGTAAAACCCCCATCTCTAAGGCCTTGAATTGTAAGTGTTCTTTAGTAAAACCCCCTTCTCTAAGGCCTTGAATTGTAAGTGTTCTCTAGTAAAACCCCCATCTCTAAGGCCTTGAATTGTAAGTGTTCTCTAGTAAAACCCCCATCTCTAAGGCCTTGAATTGTAAGTGTTCTCTAGTAAAACCCCCATCTCTAAGGCCTTGAATTGTAAGTGTTCTCTAGTAAAACCCCCATCTCTAAGGCCTTGAATTGTAAGTGTTCTCTAGTAAAACCCCCATCTCTAAGGCCTCAAGGAATTTTGTTTGGCCCAAATTTCACAGCCATTTATTACAGCTAGTTTTATGAAGCATGAAAGAATTATTTTTTTCTAATCTCCAGTGACAATGGTTCTTTATTTTATTAAATTCAGTCTTTGCTTATCGTTTACTGTTATTATTTCATCTTTTTATCTGACATTATAATTTGATTGAATTGATGCTGTAAATGTATAACAGGTGTGAATAATTAAAAGTATATCATTTTATGCAAGTTATATTATAACTGTTAATCTGAGTGTTATCCTGTTGTGTGACGACAATACAGTGGTATTATATTATTTGTTATTGTCTTAGATTGTGACAAACAGGTTCAAATGTCCTCCATCATTAGCCCTAGTCGTCTTACTGTCGGGACGAAAGTCTGATCGTCACATTTCCTAAAGGTTCATATGTCCCACCTAAATTGTCCTACTGTTTGACAGAAATGTTCAAATGTCCGCTACCATTAGCCCTAGTCGTCTTACTGTCGGGACGAAAAGTCTGATCGTCACATTTCCTAAAGGTTCATATGTCCGACCTTAATTGTCCTACTGTTTGACAGAAATGTTCAAATGTCTGCTACCATTAGCCCTAGTCGTCTTACTGTTGGGACGAAAAGTCTGATCGTCACATTTCCTAAAGGTTCATATGTCCGACCTTAATTGTCCTACTGTTTGACAGAAATGTTCAAATGTCTGCTACCATTAGCCCTAGTCGTCTTACTGTCGGGACGAAAAGTCTGATCGTCACATTTCCTAAAGGTTCATATGTCCGACCTTAATTGTCCTACTGTTTGACAGAAATGTTCAAATGTCCGCTACCATTAGCCCCACCCATCAGATGTCTGGACCAGTTGGGGAGGCCATCCCTGATGTATAAACTGTCAAGCTAAGTGTACCGATGCGAGATCGTTAGGTGTCTAACATGCTGAAAAGCATTGTGCCCATTTGTATGGTCACTGAAGTCCCAAACTGCTGACTGCTCCCTGTTGATCTCCCCAGAGGGTGCAGCCTGTGAAGAGTGGGAAGCTCAGTATACGGATGTGAGGTTAAGCACTCATGTGCAGGATGTGACACTTCCTTGGGTGAGCCCAGGACCAGAACGTCATGTGTTGGCTCTGCATTTATGGAAGTCTCCTTGGAAGGAGGGGGGAAATGCCCATAATCTGCTCCTGCTTTTCCTTGAGTGCCGACAGTCTGCGCACAGTTGCTCTGGATGGGTCCTCCAGGAGCAACACCTGCAGATAAAAGGATAAAGAGGAAACCACACAAATAATGCTATGTCATGTCCCACGAAACCAACCAGGAAGGCTAACTTGGTGAACAAATGGTCTGATGTGTCGTCTAAAGGAGCAGATTCCACAGCCATGCTGTAAACAGGCACAATGCAATTACATCACTCTGACGAACAATGAATAAGAAGAATATTAATGTTATTGTGATCCTGTTATCTTTATGTGACAGTACAGGGATATTATGTCATTTGTTATTTTGATCTTGTTATCATGCTGTAAGGCAAACAACTGGACTTAAATTTGCCTAGAGAAACCACACAACAGCCAGGGGCTGCTGGGGTTGGTTCTGCAACGTCCTATAAAGGATACCCAACTAACCTTATCATGCTGTATGACAGTACAGTGGTATCGTTTTGGGTTTGAATCCACATAAGTTGTATTTTTTTTTTTTTTTATGACCTAGGCTTGCAGGTCAGCCTAGAAAAATTGTGCCGTTTCCACAATGTAGGTTGAGAATACACTGGGAATATAACATGATGAGGCACCATCTCTTCCACTCCCCTACCACTTTCTGAAAGCCATGAGAATGACTTCTTTGCGCTCAGTGGGAACTGAACCGTAATAAATGTTGAAATGATTTCACTAACCTCAAAGCCCCAGAACCACACTAGGAATGCCATTATGTGTTAACTGACACTTGTTTCGATTAACAGTACAGTGAAACTGTCATATGTATGATATTCTGAGCTTTGTTATCCTGTTGTTTACACACACACATGCACGCATGCATGCACACATACAAGCACAGTACAGCTACACTGCCTGTTTAGGGACATTTGATCGTTCAAGGTCCCTTTTACCTGCCAGTGGCACAGCGGGCGTATGAGATTAAACTCATATTTTTGTACAAATGGTCCTCAATGGATGATGTGGTCAACATCATGCCAGCCGCCTTTATTCCCCAAGACTTTACCTAGTACCCATTTAAAGCTTGGTCAACTTGGGAACCTCTGTCATGTTTGTTTTTAAACATAAATCCGGACCATACAAATCTGAATCCATGCCGTTCGGCAGGCGAGTTTGTTATTTCTGGTAATCTGGTAATCCTAGTTTCAGCTTCATAGCAAACGGGTCACCCCATAGTTGCTCCGCTCCTGTGCCAACGAAAAACACACGTAGCTCACAGTGTCACGCCATGCACTCAACTCAGAAGCTGGGTGACGAAACTATATCCTTCCAGTCTACAAATGGAGCAAAAATGCAACAGCCACCGTCTGGCAGGAAAATTAAAAA